TACCCTCGCCACTAAAGAATGACTTACGAATCGCAAAACGAAAGAAAGGTCATCGAAGTACTCCTTAAAATAACAAAACCTCTAGATCAGGAAGCGAAACCCAAAACTCCACCAGGGAGGGTTGAATTAGCAAGGAGAAAGGAAGAAGGACGTACCTAGTGAAATGCTAAAGGAAGAGGAGAACCAGGGACAAGGATGTTGTAAGTCGCCTAAGATTCTCGATCAAATCACTTCAAATGCACAGGAAAGGAAAGGAGCATGAAGGAAAAAAGGACTCGGAACCACAGAGCAAAAAGCCAAGAGACTTCCCCCCCCCCTTTTTTTTTACAAGAGACGTATATGTATGCGTGAAGCATTAAATTTGAGACAGGCAAGTGACAGGACACGCCACAAAAGTCGTATCCACGAGCTCACCTGATGGTGACATGTGTGCATTGACATCCCATCATCGTCGACAAATGGAGGCGTGGCCCAATCCAGATCAGAACCAATAGTCGGGCACAGTCATTACTTCGAAAGCCTATAACAAGCCCAAAAAAGTCATTTTTAACCCCAAGCCAGAAGTGATAACGTCTTCATGACCTGGGGCTGGGGGGCAACTGATATGGACGAAACTCAAGACCAGGGGTTTGATAGCCCAAAGGCCTGCCAAGCCTAAAAGGCCCAAAACAGAGAAGGAAAACCTAGCATCGACAAAAAGCCTATAACCCAGCCTTCTAGGCCCAGTCCAAACCATAGAGCGGTTTGGAGAAGGAAAGCCCGGCCCAAGTTATTTCTATATCACCAGAGGGAAATGCAAATCCTGGGATCCTGGGGGACCACTCCTGACACCTACGGCAATCTCAGAGAAGGTGGAGCACCAGGCCACCAGAGATCATGGCAACGGCAGCACTGTATGAACAGGGACACCGGATGAACAGCGATTATGGTGGCAGGAAAAGCAAGAAGGGGGCAGAAGAAAGGGCAGCTGGAGGCCCTAGGAGGAGCTGGTATAAATAGATAACGATAACCCAGACAAGGAGAGAACTAAATCCCCCCAAAAGAAGATGAGTGAGCGCAAAAAAGCTAAAGAACGCAGAAAACTAAGAGAGAATACCTAACCCTTTATCCTTTGTAAATGGACCGTGAGTCCCCCCAATTACAAGAGGCATTTCGCCAACCGATGAATATATAAATCCAGCGAGCAAGAAGCTCCGTTGATAGTGGACGTAGTCTTAGTTTTCCAGCTAAGGTGAACCACTTATATTCCTAGTCTAACTAATCACAAATCCATGATCTGCAAAGCCATTTTCTAACGTCATCCCATCATAATCGGGCTTGGGCCCTAAAATCGAGCACCATCAATCTTCATAATATAAATAAATTTTTTTTACGTTGCTAATAATATTTTATAAATATAATAAACTAAATGGTTATGTGGGACCCGCCAAAAACTTCAAAAATCCAAAGAAAAGTTCATAAAATCAACTTCTTAAATAAGCTTTTTTTGGTAAAAAAACCAATGTTCAAACTAACCTGTCTTATTTTACTCGAAAATCCTTAAAAGCTACATATTTAAGTTACCTCCAAAGATGTCCATTATCTACCCTAATTGTTATGGACAGCATTATATTGATGAATTGGCATGGAGTGAAAGGAGGAGGAAGCACCCACAAAGAAGTGAAAAAAGTCCGAAAGATAACACAATTGAATTGTCCAAAGCGAGATATAAGGTTATATATGCTTAATACGTTCAATATTTAAAGCAAATCATCTGAAAGATTAAGATTACGTTCATTATGAATACCATTACTTGTTTAGAGTTTACTTAATATTCTAGCAGCTAAAATTTTGAGCTTCTGCATTGGTGTCCCGTTAGCTCATATTCCCAACATGATTGATTTTGGTCTCTATCATTCCAGCACAGCCATCACCACCAAGTTAAATTATAATTTGAGTCCAAATAAGAAACCTAATAACTTCATAAACCCTTTAACTTCTTCTTTTTTTGCTACAGTACTAGTATTCAAACTTTCACTAACTATTCCCTCAAGTTCAGCAATTGTTACCATAGTTTGAACTTGGTTAGAGTATGTTCGTCTCTTAGGAGGTGTGGAAAGATATTGAATATGAGACTTGTGAGTTAACAAAGATAATGCTCAACCACTGAACCACCGCAAAGGGTTATAAACCAGCTTTTAACTTCAATCTTCCGTTTAAAGGTTAAAAAAAGGCTTGGCAGAAGGAGAAGTCCATGTTTTAGAGCCCACAATTCAGCTTAGAGACTCGATTTCTAAAAGAATTCTTTCACTAAAGCCCAAATTCTCTGACCCAGTAGTTCCGAATTAGCCCATCCGGACCACCTTAGCCTGATGCATCGATGTTGAGTGTATCCCCTGTAAGGAGAGAGGTCACAAGACACTAGATATATAATTTATATATGATACAAACTTGACATAAAACAAACTCATAACCCGATGATATATAATTTATATATGATACAAACTTGACATGAAACAAACTCAATTATAGTATACTATATATAAATGGGTCGAGTTTGGATTGTAACACAGCACAACTTCTATACTTAGACACCCCGACGTGACACTGCCTACTAGCAGTAGTAAAAGACATCATGGCCATAGTTGTTTTTCCTAAAAATGACACTGACTCTGTAAATTCCTTGTTGATTTCGGAATTCTGATGGTAGGTGGCTGCTCAGCAGGTTACAACCCTACTCGCGCCTACTCCATTCTTTTGATTTACGGAGGTCAACTTGCAGATAAATAAGCAAAGGAAGACTGGACTGCACATAGAATGAAGCTTTTGCCTCCCCTACCTCTTTTATTGCTTATAGATTGCACACCGGCACGGTTTTTCATTTTAATAAGAACTAATAATGAATCGTATTATATCTAGTTCGTATATAATTAAACTAACGATATTCAGTGATTAAAGTTAATATACACTTAGCTATGATATTGTGAGTGTATTGGAGTGTGTATATAATGAGTGTATATGTATTTGTGTTGAGTGTGTGCAACTGTGTGTCGTGGAGAGTGTTGGACACGTAGGGAACAATATATCTAAATTTGATGTACAAAAAACAATGGTAAAAATCATAATTGATCCCTAAACTTTATCTTACTTTTAATTTTGTGCCTAAATTTTTAATTGTCTCAATTTAAGTCTTTCAACTATTAATTCTATCTCAATTAAGTACTTCTGTTTATTTCTACCATTAAATCAAAACGGAAATATGCGAGTGTAACGCGTGAAATAGATCAAATTAGACTAGTCTCCCGTTCATCTAACGATGAAAATAAATAGGACTTAATTAAGACGAAACTGATAGTTGAGAGATTAAATTGAGACAACTGAAAGTTCAAAAACTAACTAAAAATCTAAGACAAAGTTTAAAAAACAATTATAATATTTACCCTAAAAAAAATGGGCACATAGTTGTCACTCATTTTTGAATCCAACTATGAGGGAATGCTAAGTTACTCCAAAAAAAAAAAAAATTCATACCTCCATTTATATAGTTTTAGGACTTTTTTTTTTTGAATCATTATCACTTTTTGGAGTTTTTGCGATTTATCACAAAAAAAATTCAATCGATCCAAAAAAATTATTACTTTTTTTGATCAATCCTAAGATACAAGTTTTTTAGGTAAAAATAGACTCAAAACTTATAACTTAACCCCCAAAAATTATAAATTTCGGCACCGTATCTCCTTCAATAAAGGGGTCAAATCCGTAACTAAGATATGAAGAATATTTATTCCAATTGAACCAAGACAAAGCTATCAGAATCATAACTGTACCTGGGCAGTCGAGGAACCATTATATTAAAAGTCAAGTGCTAAGATCAAACAATATGAAACATCCATATCACACAAACTTCATCATCCCTCCCATGTATCACTAATGCGTCCCATTAAAAAAAAAACAATGGTGGTTTTTTTATCATTTCACTTTCAAACATACTTCGGTAATTTGGAATTATGACCCAAACATATTGGTTGGTTCGAACGAAAAAAGCCTAATAGTTACGCTTACAACAATACTATTGGATCACGTTACTATAGCATTATGTTTTTTTTTTCATTACTATCACATTATTAGATCAACATATTAGATCAATTTCTAAATTTCAATAGCGGTACTCTATTGTAATCCACAGACTCTAACAACTACGAGGGTATGTTTGGTTTAAGCTTTAGGAATTATCGAATTTGACAAATTCGTCTATTCCATATCCATCTATCCAACTCTTGAACTAATTATATTGATAATGCGTCATCATGTTATGTGTTAGTTCAAATATTAAATAGTAGAGTGCCCTAAATGTGTCTCATCCATTGAATAAAATACTGAATAATAGTATAAACATTAAATTACTAAAAAACTCTCTAAGAAGTGATAGTTATATCCTAAAAATCTTTTAGGATAAACATATTTTTTGTTCAAATAGATTTCAACCGAATTATTTAAACCCACAAAAAATAAGTGAGTTTATTTAAGAGGTTAAAAGTGTCATTCAGTATATTATTTATTCGGGCCGATTTTATTTGTATGTGATAATACTGAGACTCCAAATAAGTTTAATCCAACAAGTATTTTCGTCAATACAAGCGACATTCATCCATTACATACTAACTGGTTATTAAATATTAAGCCGTTGATCTTTTCTAATACACTAGGTGAGAAACTTACACATCGGGTGTTTTGAAAAGTTAAGAGATTAATAATAAAATATTTTAAAAATATAGAGGGAATAATGAGAATTATTAAAATCTGGGGGGCCGCTCATAGTTCAGTCTCTGCCTTGAGTGATTGAACGGGTTCCACCGACAAAGTTAATGGGGCTTACTCACGAAGAATGATATGCAGTTGTAATTTCTAAAGGTCAGGACCACTGTTTTATTCCATTTTTATCTCATACAATAAACTCGACTTTTATAACCCTGGAATGCACCTGAGAGGCGAACTGAGAAAGGTACCTGAGATTTTCAGCGATGGCAAGCCACCAAGATGATCAAGGTCACAAAAACGGCTTGAAACAAGCTCGAGTTGTTGTAATCATGGTGCCTTTTCCAGCCCAAGGCCATCTCAATCAGCTCCTACAACTCTCCTGCCTCATCGCCTCCTATGGACTCCCCGTTCACTATGTCGGCTCTGCCACCCACAACCGCCAAGCCAAACTCCGCGCTAATGGCTTAGACCCTCTCCACATTGACAGAATCAGTTTCCATGATTTTCCTACCCCTGCTTTTCCCTCTCCTCCTCCAAACCCCAACTCCTCAAATAAATTCCCAGTACATCTCCATCCATCTTGGGAAGCCTCTCAGCAACTCCGCCAACCTGTTGCTGCACTTTTAAAAGAAATCTCTAGTACATCACAAAGAATTATCATTATTCATGACATACTTATGGCTTCCATTGTTCAGGATGCTGCCTCCATCCCAAATGCAGAATCGTATGTATTTACGTGCATCTCTGCCTTCACACAGTTCTTCACCGTATGGGAAGCCATGGGGAAACCTTTCCAAGTGGAAGCAGAACCAGAAGAGCTACCATCCCTGGAAGGATGTTTCACCTCTGATTTCAAAACTTCGTAGCTAATCAACAAAAATTTCTGAATTTTAAAGCTGGAGATATCTTTAACACATGCAGATTAATGGAAGGTACATATGTTGATCTACTGGAAAAGGAGGAAATAAGCGGAAACAAGAAGGTTTGGGCCATCGGACCAATAATCCCATCAACAATACGTCAAGGCAGAAACTCAGCAAGCCGATGCAAATGCTTGGAGTGGCTTGATAATCAATCCCCAAAATCTGTAATATATATATCTTTTGGAACGACAACTTCAATGGCAGATGAGCAGATCAAAGAACTTGCTATCGGGTTACAAAAGAGCAAGCAGAAGTTTATCTGGGTATTGAGAAATGCAGATAAAGGTGACATTTTTGCTGGAGAAGTTATGAGAAGAAAACTACCAGAAACATTTGGGGAGAGCATGGAAGGAGTTGGAATGGTGGTGAGAGAATGGGCACCTCAACCAGAAATTTTAGGGCACCCGTCAACAGGTGGGTTTATGAGTCACTGTGGATGGAACTCATGCTTGGAGAGCATTACTATGGGGGTGCCAATAGCGGCCTGGCCAATGCACTCTAACCAACCACGGAATACAGTTCTAATTACAAAAATATTGAGAGTTGGCCTGGTTGTAAGGGAGTGGGCACACCGTGAAGAGCTGGTGACATCCTCAACTATAGAGAAAGCTGTGAAAAAGTTGATGGGAACAAAAGAAGGGGACGAGATAAGGAAGAGAGCTGAGGAGCTGGGCAGCGCCGTCTGGCAGTCTAGGCAGCAAGGTGGTATCTCTCGCATGGAGTTGGATACCTTCATTGCTCATATTTCTAGATAAGTTGGTTTTCCATTGGTGTTTCATCAATGGAAATAATTACAAGAAAAAGAAGAGACTGAGCACAACGTACCTTGAACTGTCTTTGTCTAGTTGTTTAAAGGTTACCTTGAACTTGTAGCTGACTGGAAAGACTCCAGAATATTACCATTTGAACTTCTGGTCGTAATCTGAGAAGGGAGCTTGTTATACATGTGATTGTTCTTTGTTTATCTAGGCACCCAATATGATTTAGCTAAAAATTCACAAACTGGTTTCCATTGTGATAGAAGATGAAGATCTTCATTTACAAGCTAGTTCTCCGGGTAAAATCATATCAACAGTGTAAGTGGCAGAAAATTCCAATAATTACAATTTATTAATGAAAAAATGCAGGCGTTCCCAGAAAATAAGATAATGCTTTGAAAAGCAAACATGTTCTGAAACTCAAGTTCAGTATGACACAGACCCAAAGGAGGCAACTGGCATGTCAACTTTATCTACCACTACTGTTTCAGAAAGATGTTAACTACTCCCACTAAACAAGCTTATCCTTGTTGCAGAAGAACTACTAGCAACCATTGTGGCTAGAATTTCTCTTGCTGTCTTATCCACAATACCAATAATTGGCTTACTTTTCCACCTTTGACTAATGGCATGTTCTGCATACTTTTTGCAGAATGAAAGAAACGCAAGATGACGAAACCAATGGAGGAAGGAAAAGGCAAAAGAACGATAATGACTATACAACATTGGAAAAGTTAAACCACAAAAAAAAAAAAAAAGGTCTCAGCCTGAATATCGGCCAACAAGACATGGCCACAAATTTGCATGAACAAGGAAATTCCGTTCTTTAAGTTCAGGACTCTACTATGGTCTACTTGTCATTTCGTAACAACTATAAAAATTCCCTCAAACTTCCAAAGCCATCACAATGATCAATGCCGTGATATAACCGGGCATGAAACAAGCTCAAATAGTTGTAATCATGGTCCCTTTTCCAACCCCAAGGCCATCTCGATCAGCTCCTGCAACTCTCCTGAGGACTCCTAGTTCACTATGTTTGCTCTGTCACCTACAACCACCAAGCCAAACTCCGTGCAAATGGCTTACACCCCCATAACATTGCCAAAATTAGTTTCCATGATTTTCCTACCCCTGCTTCTCTCTCTCCTCCTCCCAACCCCAACTCCTCAATAAATTCCCTGCACATCTCCATCCATCTTGGGAAGCTTCTAAGCAACTATGCCAACCTATTGCTTCACTTTTACATGAAATCTCCAATATAGCCGGGAGAATTATCTTAATTCACCGAGTCTTATGGTTTACATCATTCAGGATGCTGCTTCCATCCCAAATGCAAAATCTCTGCCTCCAATGGCTACAAGTTTTAATAGCTACTATCAAACTAAAAAGGCATCTTAGTGCACGAAACTCCCACCATTGTGAGATCCAAGTTTTGGGGTGTAAGGAGTGCTTTCTTGTAATTAAGGATAGTTATCCCATTTAAACTCTTACTGTACTATTAACAATACCAATGGATTTTTAAAACAGGGATCCTACCTTGGATTGATGGGAGAGTTTAAAGGATCGGATCGAGACTCATACGCTCCTACGAACTGAGAAAATTGGACTAAAAATAGATGTCATAATACAAAATTTATAAAAACAAAAAACAAACCAAATACATACATGAGGTAGATATGTTATGATTAACATATAGAACTAACTTACAGATATGATTAAAACTTGAGAAACTACAAAAAATGGAAGAAAAGTGAGAGGGGAATGAGAATGGAAGATATCTGTATCTATGATCACTCAACGAGACAAAAAATAACAAACTTAACCATTGTTTTTAACTTTATAACATGAGAGATGAACGAATGATGAGAGTTTATGTAGTTTTTTTCACCCACCAAAATTTCCTAAGAGTAACTCCAACCCAACTCTTCATTTTAACTATTCAAAATATATTTAAATATTACACTCTCTATTTTATAAAGTCACTTTTACAAGTTCACTCCAACCATGCTCTTTATTTTTGCTAACTATTTCAACTAACTTTCAATAATTTAAATTGAAAATACCATGTAGTTTACCATGCCATCGCCATATTTTTCCCGGTCAAATTTAACCCAAAATTCAACCAAAAAAAAAGAGAGAGATATCAGTTCTGGGTTCTTCTTGTCAAATTGTCATGGAATTTTAGTGAATCAATGAGATAAAAAGAGGAAGAGTCAAAACAGAAAAGCTAAAGAATAAAAAATGGTGAAATGTCAAAAGAGAAAGTTGATTGAACCGAGAGAGAGAGAGAGAGAGAGAGAATGGGGGATAGAGAGAAGGAGGGAGCTCGCCAGATTTGGAGAGCCAAAAAGGTGAAATGAAAAATAGAGAGTGGGTTGGAGAATTTTTTTGGTGTTGGCCGGGGTAAAATGGTTAAGAAATGAGAAATAGAGAGTGGGTTGGAGTTGCTCTAATAGACTAATAAGCATAAGGGGCAGTCACATATGGGCTATGTATACAATTGAATACTAAAGAAGCTTTATTCTAAATCACACAACACACTATGTTTTACCTTGGGGCGCAACAATAAATTATCAGAAGTTGCAATAATTTACAAAATTCGATATCCTAGAACATATATCAAGGCAAAAAAGAAAGGGTTTTTTATTTTTTGGCTTGTGTGTGTGTTGGGGGGGTCCCTACTAGATTGAGAATATCAAGAGAAAATGCAAAACTCACCACTTCGGATGGGGGAACATACAACGCTGAGATACTTGGTTCAATGGAACTACCACCAATGCTTCAGCTCCCATCTTTGGATCATAATACACAACACAACAACTACTAAAAATGCCTTAAAAGTTTTTCTCGAGAAAAATCACTACCACCAAAGATAATCAAGTGAGATGTTTAGAGATCTCTTTGGGGGATTTCTGGTACTTCTGATTTCTTCAATTTTGTAGGAAAAGTAGTGATCAAAACTTGGTATAAATAGGCTTGAACTGATACTTATAATTGCGGATACCAATACCAAAATCCAGCAGCCACCAATTAGAGACTAGGCCAACTCAATAACTAAAGGCCCCTACCAAACAAATCCAACAACAATTAGAAAAATCAAAATTGAGATCTAGATCTTACAATCCTACAAGATTCGGATCTAGTCCCACTGATATTCTAAGTACCAAAAAATTTCCAAGATACTCGGATCAATTTGCCTATAGCAGATCACAGAATCGAGATTTTGGTAGCCATAATCTAAATTCTAAAGCTCAATAGACATTCCAAAAATTGGTATAGAGAACTTGTTCCATTAGGCCAATCCCATCCACACCTTTTGTCCTGCAAACAAGCATGCCCTAAACCCTATCTGAGATTGATCTTCCTTCTAAAACCTAATTTCTCACATTAATTGTTGTTCCAATTCAAGCAGCAAATATTAATCACACTTTAGTCAAATTTACAGCAAAACTTAAAACTTAGAATCACTTCTAATGATTTCGATGGTTTACACTTCCGTATTTCAAGGTTAGTATACAGCATAGTGATCAATTTCATCGACACTTGACATAATCATCAGCAACTGGCCAGGTCGAGCTGTTGACCGTCAACAGGTGGGGTTGTCCACCCCAAAAGCTACATCCCGCAGGCTGCTCACCAAAACAGTCTTAATGGGATGTCAATTGGGACGAAGCCAATGGACAAGCCGAACAGACCTAGCGGGCTTTTGCTGACTCAGAATCTGATAGGGAACTTTTAGAGAGTGATCTTTAAAAATTTCTAGGCTTCCTTCAATAGCAACCAAAATAAAAATTATAGGAACCAAGAAGAAGTATGCCATTCAATAGAATCAACTGTTACACATTAGGGGGGAAAAAGTACAAATGCAAAGCTCCAAACAGATAGATGTTCAATGGACAGACTGCAAGTTTCATTTACATTTTCCAAACCTAATATAAAGTTTTGCCACAATGTACACACCAGCCACAAGGAACTTGCCAATCTGATTATATTTTCACATTGAATAACTATTTGTCATCCCGCACTTATGTAGAAGTTGGTCCACAAAGAAAAGTCAAGGAAGGACAGGAAGCTCCACCCTGTTAAAGGAGAAGAAACTTACACGTCCATGCTCAACATGACAAAACCTTATAGGAATGCCATCCCACCGTCTTTCAAGTTCCTCAATCACTGATTTGGATGGCGGATGACCACTACAAGAGAAAGAAAGGTCCCATTTTATTTACCAATAACTTCTCAAGAATAGAGATTGATACATGGATGGAAAACTAAAATAAGGCAAGATAAGTGCCAAATATCATGTATTCACATAGAAAACCACAATAAGTATCGTCATTGCCCAATATTGTCTTGAGAGAAACCCTTTAATATGGGAACTGTTTAATGTTTTATCCTTGTCTAATGAACTTTTTGTTGTTTACAGGATCATCAAGATAACAAAAGAAGGGCAATAATTTTGTGAAACACACCCGTAGTACTCTCTACTCACAATCGAAACCCTAAGAAATGCTCGATGATGGCAACGGTGATCTGAAAGACCACTTCTGAGCCACAGCCAATACTTTTTTTAAGGGACCATACTTGTTTTCTATTTGTGGAAAGGGTAGCCCAAGCAAACCAAACACTAGAAGCACTTCAAATAATTTAAAAAACGAGAAAAATCCAATTCTCTAGATTTGATGTGTATGAACCCTCCGACATGAATCCATCAGAGAAGAGATAAAAATTATCTTCCAGAAAATAGACGTCCTTAGGCTTCCATTGTTTCTAAACAATCCAATTTCAAACCCCCGCCCCCTCCCCCCCCAAAAAAAAAAAAAAAAACCGCCCAAACCACCACCCCAAAAGGAAAGAAAAGGAAGGGGGAATGCAGTGACAAGAGCAGTCAATGCATCTCTAATCCAAATTATCATGAATGTGAAGCACAGTAGAAAACTAAGCACAGTCGAAAAGTTTTCTATTAATAAATCCATGCAAAATTGATAACCTAAAACATGCTAAGTGCACACTTTTACATCTATCAACCATTTAAAATAAAACATTTTTTACATAACAAATCATTTGAGAACAAAGTTTATGCCAAAATAATATAAGACAACATCCCAAAAACTTACTACCATATTTATATGGACGGCAGAAAAGTGGGCAGCTCCAATATTTTACAGCAAAACCAAATTATCTTATAGAAGTAAAATCAGTTACCTCATTAGACAGAGCAAAAAACTTGGATTGCCAGGAGAAGACTTTCTAAATTTGTTGTTAGGAGGGTAAACAACAAATATTGGTCTCACTTCACTAACCACCAAACTACCAAAATATTCACTGATGGATCTCTCATCTTCACACTCCTCCTCTATTATTCCCTTGATCTCTGGAGTGCCTTCGAGAAACGTGGACTGATTCTTAACGCTCTTAATAGTCCAAGGAACACCATGCCGCCCAACGATGTAACCAAGAGATTTTAAATGCCTATAAACCTCGAAGGACTCCCAACAGCATCCATTATTTCCATCTGCAACCATCTTATATATATTTTTTAGGGGAAGCGGTGTATCATCAGCATCATCCAACAGATGCAATGCCCCTATTTCGGCCAAATATCTACAGACAAACCAAAATATCACTCACTCAACATACGAGGTGTTGCTTAGCATTACATCCAAAGTTAATATTATGATGCTGTGCAATGATTTTAAGCAATGAATACTGATAAGACAGTTAGCATCACCTACAAAGTCTCTTCAATAGAACAATAGATTTTGCTTCTACGAACCATCCCAGTTGTAGTCCACAATCGACCTTTCAGCTCCACAACCTCAGCCATTGTCAACTCATTGTTCCAACGAGCCTTGGAAATATCTTTCCTAAAAAAAATACACAAAGTCATAAAACCACCCCTATATTAGTTATTCACTAGCCAAAGAGTCTTTTCCCCCAAAAAGTCTACCTAAATTGCAACTTAGGTATATCACCAGTGGCATAGCAATGTTCTTCATCATTTGTGTCTTGCAAATAGACCTCCAAGTCACTCGATCCTCCTGAAGAACTTGCCCAGTCCTCAACCTCCATTAATTTTATCAAATACAAGACAAGATAGAGAAGAGATCGGATTAACTCACTGCCTGATTGATCGAACTGCAACAAATGACAACACCACACAGACACGATCAGGTCCAAAAATCCATTATCTTTTTTTTTTGGTACAAAAATCCATTATCTATATGTATATGTATGAACACTTGAGACAGGGAGAGGTGGCAGAGAGGGTGGTGGCTGCGTGTGCGGTGGTGCTTGTGCGTCGGGGCAGATATTGAGAGGAGAAAGAGAACGGGAATACGGTGGATTGGTGGTGACTATCTTAGAGCATCTCCAACCACACTCAGTAAAATAGCTATTCAAAATATATTTAAATATTGAATTCACTACTTTAGCTAGCTATTTTTTAAAATTCATTACAACCACACTCTCTATTTTAACTAACTACTTCAACTAACTTTTAATAATATAATTCAAAAATGCCACGTGGCATAACACGTAAGTGCTATAATGATGACATGTCGTGCCACGTCAACAAATTTTTAAATTTTAAATTTTATAACGGTCATTTTTTTAACGGTCATACATTATTCAAATGGTACCCAACAAGTGCATACATTATAATGTATTGCTCTGATAACGGTCATCAGTGCATACATTGCTCTGATGCAAAACATAACAAGCAATCAGATTCCAGAAATACCCATTTATCATACAAAGCAATAACTTCTAGCAATATAATGTTCAAAAAACTATCTTTCATAAAAGATCAATTCATACTGAAGGAGACAAGTTCTCAACAATATGATTTGTATTTTATCAGTTCAATAAATTGACATAAAGAACAAAAAACGTTATAGAAACATATCTCAATACATTGAAACCAGTATTGCCATATATGTCAGTCATTCACTCATAACTCAAATTGCATATGTTTGCGGAAGAGTTTTTCCAATAGAATTGGAGTTACCTAAAAAAATTCAGTTCTAAACATGTTTATCCTCAACATAAAGCCCAAACTTCACTCCCGACCCAAAGCATACAAGGTGAGTTGTTTTCTTCAGATTATATCTGTACAATATAGATAGATATATGAGATAGATATTTTCCTCTATCTCTAACAATATTTGCTCTCCGATGCAAATTTTAACTCTGTACCATCATCTGTTGCTTCTATAATTCTCCCAAAAAATTTGGGGATCGCGAGAAAAACCCATTTCACAGTTAGAGCAACTGTGAAGAGAAGGAAAGAGGCTCCTTTTGATAATGTGATTCAAAGGATAAGACGCTCAAGTTGGTTTTGAAGATCCAGTTTATCGAAAAACCCCCAAATTGCATTACCTAAAAAAATCCAGTTCTAAACATGTTTATCCTCAACATAATTGCAAATTGACATAAATAAATCTGTATGCTTTGGGGAAAAAAAGATCGAACCAGTGGGGTTTGTTCAGTGAGAATTTGAGACAGATGTGTTGTATTGCAGAGCTACGACCTCGGCGACGCTGGTTTGACGGTAGTGTTTGAGATGCAATCGGTGTGGAGTTTCGCCTCCCCCACCTCTGAACTCGCTGGGTTTGCCCTTTGTTGGCCACGAACAGCGATCGACGATGGTGGGAGAGTGCAGGGAGACTCTGATGAGAGAGACGAGTGAAGAACAACCAGATTTGGGGGAGAGAGTTCTGATGAGAGAGAGTGGTGCTAGCCACAACTGATGAGTGAGAATGTGAGGAGGCAGATAAGCGAGCGAAATGGAGAGCCGGTTGAAGCCAAATTTTTTGGATTGACTCAGCAAAATAGTTAAAAAATGTCATTTGTTGATCCGGTTGGAGTTGCTCTTATATGGGCAAATAATCGACCACAGTTGGTGAGGACTTCAAGGGGAGCCAAAGATCGAGACATGGAGAGAGGTATGAAGTCTGTTGGTTGTGCGAGGTGGTGGCGGTGTGTCGGGGCAGAGGGGGCAGAGATCGAGAGAGCGAGAGAGTCTGAGAAGGAGAAAAGAGGGGGATGACAGACTTACCTGGGCTACGTTTGCGGCGTTGCGTGAGAGAGAGATGGGCTTCTGTGAGGCGTTGCGAGAGAGGCAGATGGGTCCGGCTCCTCAGCAGTTAATTTAAGGGTAAATTTCATCGTTATTTCACGAGGTATGACACTTGTTACATTTTTTTTTTTTCTAAGTCATAATTTTGATAATTTTATCCGCTAACTTTTAATTTTGACTAACTTTTGTCCTTACCTTTAATTGTGGTGCAACGTGAGCGGCAGGGGACACGGTTAAAAGAGGGAGAAATTAAATGATTGAATTGTCTTTTACCCAATGTTATCAGAATTGAATCCATCGTCGAATCAATAATTATATAATTTTATAATTTTTTATTATATGATCATTCCGATCAGTTAACTCACGATTGAATCAATAAATTATTATAAATATAATAATTTAACTAAAATATATATATTTAAAATACATACAATTTGCCATAAAATTTACGAAGTAAGTAAAAGAAGATACATGTGACAAATATCAAAATCAAACAAAAGACAGTCATCAAAATCAAATAGCAATGTGCAGAATAAACACTAAATAATTAAACAAACAACATCATCCAACAGAAGGTCATCCAACATCATCAGGTCATCCACCAAATAATTGAAAACTATAATACACCAAATAATACACAGAAGGTCGCTGCATCACTAATAAGAAGAGATTTTTTTATTTTTTTTTAAAAAAAAAAAAAACTAATCAGAAGAGCACTGTCGCATGCAGCAGAAGTTTGAGTGCTGCCTGAGTCTGAACAGCTTGAGTGCCGTCTGAGCAGTGAGTGCCGCCTAGAGCAGAAATCTTAACAGCCTTGATTGATGGTCGCCTGAGTGATGCCTGAGTTCCGCCTGAGCAGTGAGCACTGATTGCTGTCTCTCTTTAGCTGGTGAGAGGAAGAGCACTGATTGCTGTCTCTCTTTAGCTGGTGAGAGGAAGAGCACTGATTCCTTTCTGTGTCGCCTAAGTCTGAACGGCCTCCCTCTTTTCTCTTTCTCTACCTTTTCCCTTCTGTCATTTAGCCTATTTAGGGCAAAATCAAAATACCCAAAACCAAATAAGAAAAAAGTAGATTTATGGACTTTTAAACCGGTTCCCGGTTTTCTCCAAAAACAGGCCGATTTGGCGGTTTTTATTCGATTCCCCTCCTTAGGCGGTTTAATTAGTCAATCGGACGAGTTAAAGTCTCAATTCACAGTTGAATCGATCGGACCAACCGATTCAGTCTAGTTCAGATAACACTGCTTTTAGCTCGATCACATACTCTTCACATGTCCCGTCACTCTTTTAGACGATAGATAAAAGTAAAGACAAGAATAAGTTAATGTTATAATATGTGGATAAAAATGCAATAAGTGTCAAACTCCAGGGATTAATAGTGCAATTTATACTTAATTTAACTGCTGAGGTTGATCAAAACGGCGTCGTTTTGGTGTAAAACGACGGCATCTTTTTCGTGTAAAACGACGCCGTGACGGCCTCCTCCCGGGCCAATGCGGTTCCCACGTCTACTGGCGAAGAAGATTGTTTGCGAGAAGGAACCAGAGGAACTCAGGAGCGTTCAAATTAAGAGAGAGAGAGAGAGAGAGAGAAACAGCCAGTAAGAGGAGAGAATGCCGAGAGTAACCCCTGTACTGCGCAAGGGTCTCAAAGCCATTCAAGATTTTGATCTGCTCAAGGTCTTGCAGTCCGAGATCAGACACGAACTGTCCTCTAATCGCTTTCAGGTATTAATCTCTCTCTCTCTCTCTCTCTCTCTCTCATATGCATATACTCACACAAATTTTCCATTATCAAATATATTCATCAACCTCCCGAGTGTTACATCATTGTACGTTTTTCACTAATCCAATCTCTTTTTTAAGTGCTCGACCAATTGGTCCTACATTGCGTTTTCCTTCAAGGATGCCCTAATCAGAAACCTAACTTAAACTATAAGCTGAAATCTATGGGCACCATCACATTTCCCAGATTAATCCCTCGTGAGAAGTAAGTTGTCAGTGTTGCTATTTCTGAGTGCCTAGATTGTGGTGTTGGATAAAAATGCAAATTTCATACTTGTTGTAAGGGGTTTCACCCTCCACAAAGGATTCTGGCGAGGGGCGGAGCCAGAAATTTTATTCTGGGCACTTTAATTATGCACTCTAATTTTTTTTTTTTAATCAATCACATTATATAACATATTGATATTTATTATATTATATTTGATATATGAAGTCCATTTAACATAAAAAATTTTAAAAAAAAATGTAAATTGTCAGGGGTGGAGCTATGAATATCTATGATAGAGGTAAAATATAGTTGATATAAAAAAATATTAAACCGAAATTAATACAAAAAAATTCAATTCAAGAATAAAAAAAAAGTAAGAATCAAAATTAAATTATTGTGAAATAGTAAATTCAATTTTTATTTAGTCGAAACAAAATCTTAACAAAAAGACACAAAATAATTTTTTTAGTACATTTTAACCTAATTATATATTTCAATAAAATATAAATTTTTTTAAAATCTCTAAAATTTTTTGTATATGAATTAAATGTAAATTAATTTTCGTATTTTATTAGGTTATAAACTATTATTACTAAAAAAAATATTAAATGAAAACTAAAAATCATTCTTAAAAAGTAACGAACATTGTATTAGATAAAGAGAAATATTTATTTTTGTCAATATACAAATAAAACATTGACTCAATCCAAAACTAATATATTTATTTTAGAGGGTTAATAGTTTATTAATTTATTAAAAAAAAAAGACTAGAACCATTATTGAAATTTTCAAAAATTTAGGGGGTAAATATAATGTATAAAATAATTTTATAGGTTGGTGCAAAGAAGGACAAAAAAACTCAAGAAACTGAGCTTCTCGTGTGTTGAGCTTTTCTCTGTTTCTTCTCTTTTTCTTGTGGATGAGTAGTGGGCAGCTGGAAGTGGGTGATACAGAGAGAAAAAAAAAAAAAGATAAGGTAGGTTTTAGTCAAGTGGGCCAAAAGTTTTGTTTTTAATGTTGGGCCAAAAATTTTATTTTTTAATTAGTTTGGGTGGATTGTGATAGGTTAAATATCTGATTTTTTAATAAGTTTGAATAGATAATAATGAGTTCAATTTTTTTTATTTTAAATGGACTTAATTGTTTAATTATTTTGAGGAAATAATGTGGGCCTAATTTAAATGAGGGGGACACGCATAATATATATGTATAAATATATAATACATATATCTCACTAATAAAAAAAAAAATTTTGAGCGGGGGCACATGCCCACCCTGACCCCTACCTCCCTCCGCCCATGATTCTGGCTGACCTGGTCTGACTAGATCACCCAGTAGCTTTTACGTCTCGTCCCACATAGGCAGAGAGTCGTCTCCCCCCCCCCCCTCGCGGCCATATAAGTCTTGACTTGGTATGGAGGAGGTATCCACTAGTGACCTGATCAGCCAGAATCCTTCTCGGAGGGCGAAACCCCTTACCCTTGTAAATGTGATTCTCATTTGAACATCAATAGTAATTTTGCTCCCATTTCTAAGTTTACTGACACCAATTTGAAATGCTTTATGATACCATCGATACATGTTTGCTTAAATTACCCACCACCTAAAAGGAAAGCAAAAGAGGTAGTGGAGCCCTTATTTTGACACTTTTCATGCTATTAGCAAAATCAGCTAGTGTCCCGTTTACAATTTTCAACAATGTTATGGGTAGAACGGACGATATGATCCTTCTTTTCCCATATAGCAGACGCTTCAATATCTATAAAAGTTATTATTGGCAATCAGTATAGGTTAGTGGGTGTGATCAAAACAATGTGATATAATTGAACTGTTGTATCATAGTAAAATTGCGAAGGGCGTTGTACTGCTGATGTCCTTCGTGAGCTGACCTACTTCAGCACATTCAAAATCCATCACTTATGGATCTATAAAAAGATCCAATATATGATCTGTTTTAGCTTCCCTTAAGAGGGCAACGATTCATATGTACCACTTACTTTGATATTGATGCCATTCCATGCAATGGCCTTATTCGTGGTGGTGGATGCTCAATGCCTGTAGTTGTTAAAAGCTTACGATTCCCGATTTGATCGAATTCAACACTTTTTTGATAGGAGTTGGTTGGACAAATCTCATATTTTATTAAATCCAAGGGAATCTTTGTGATTTGTAACGGAATCACACAATTTACAATTTAAAAATGATTGATATGATTCAGCAACCTATTTAGTTGAAAACTACAAAAGTTCATTGTTATAAATATAAGCGCATCTTGTCATTTGGCATAAGCTTTCTAAAGTTAATTAAGGGGCTTTAGGGTGTTTACTATTGTTTTCCGCTTTTCTTTTTTCTTTTAATATTGTCAGATATGCATAAAGGCTTTGCTCACGAGGCAAATATCATATATTACTTTCTCTATGCTGTAATTGTTTCCTCCTTTATTGGTCAATGTTTCTTCATACTTCTTCACCCATTTTATGTACTACTCATCAGCATAATTCTTTCTTACTGTGAATTATTTGATTAAAATAATTGCAAAATGAGAGGGGTGTGTAAAAATGATCCCATGCGGGAAGTTATTTTCTTGCAGTCATTATTGTATGGGTGATATGCCAAAATACATTAAATGTGTTATTTTGTGACAGTGCATATTCAAGCAGTGCTTTTTAGACTAAGCATAAAAAAATTCTTCGCTTGACTACAAGTTTGGGTAGACATTAGAAAAATTATCTTTTCGGAACAAAAAATAGAAGAAGAATATTTGTTTTAATTATGATTTAATATATTACTTTGAAAAATATGAAGGATAACTATTGATGCTGGTTCGAGGAAGGAAAACAAAATTGGGAAAGCTCAAAAACAGGCAAGAGTGATTGTAAAGAAGTGATTAAATTTTTCATAATGTTAAAACTTTTTCTATGGCTATGCTTTGGTAACACCTAGTATGCTATAGTAATAAAATTGGTAAATTGGTTCATTGAAGACATAAACTCCCTTTTTCCCATGAGATCCTCTCTTTCGTTACTTTTTAAAAATCAATTGACAATATTAAAGCAATATTTTTAGTATGTATGGAGTATTTGTCTAGACTCCACAGCTCCATGGAAACTCTTGCATCAACATATCTTGAATAGTCATGCTAGAAATCATTGTATATTACTAGGTTTATTTAATTTTGGTTTTCTTTTGTTTGTGTTTTTCATGTGTGCATATCATATGATGTCAATTTTTAAAATATGTAGCTGAATCTTACGATTATTGATTAAAATCAACGATTTCGGATTCTTGATACGAACCTTAATTTGACATCTATGCTAATGTCACTCAGAATAACACAAAATGCTCAAAATTGGTTTCAGAGAACCTGTTTGGTTTTTTTTGCCCCCTAACTTCTACAAGTTTTTTTCAGAACTATGAAAGTGGTTCCATAGGAGATTTTGTGGTGGACTGGGATTCACCACAGTCCCAAGACATGGTTTTACGGAAAAAATATGAGTCAGGTGAGGAAGTTGCTGTGTCAGCTTTGTTAGGTTGTGAAACCTTTCAAGAAGATGGTAGATTTCCCAGGGAAGCTCAGATGAAGGTATGCATAAAGAAGCCTGGCTTGACCTCCATCTTGCAGTTTGATTGTGGAGTTTCAAGTAGAAGTGACATTGGGACTGAGTTTGAAATCCGTAATGCATATTTCATCCAATCATCATCATGTTTGGATTCTTCATTCTACAGAGGCCCCTTATTCAGGTACTTTCTTGTGTTAATTATTGTTCATTGTTATTACTTCGTCGATGTATTCAATTTATGTTGCTTGTACAATTTAGATAGATGCCATATTCACCCCCCTCACCTTTATCTCTACTTGATTTTGAGAAGAAAAGCTTGTGTTAGAATGGCATCATCCTGATTTTTGTTTTGATGTCTTTCTTGCTTCTGTTTGGTGCAATTTTCTAGCTGTTTACATAAGTTTGATGTTTACTACTTAAGTGACCAACGTAGTTCAATTTTAGCACTTCAATATTTTTTGGTAGCAAACGTAACTTCTTGTTTTAAAATTTTAGGAACATATCGAAAGTGTTGGATAAGAAATCCAACTAAACATAGGTGGAAAAAAAATTACGGAGAAGGAAAATACATAAAAATCCTATAAATCACATGAAGCTCTCCATCCTGATAAGAGAACAAAGAGTGGAATTCCTCTAAACTCCTTAGAAACCCAAACCCAAGAAGTGAAACCAAAACCCAAACCCAAAATGACGATATGAAATGAAATTAGTACTTCAATATTTAGACACATATTTACTCCTTGGAGTCATAATCAGAAGCAGGTTGAATAATTATTTTGCTTAATAATTCTCATGTTATTTATTTGAATTCTGCATAGGTCAGTGTTGGAAATCAAGTTCTTATGAAATTTAAGTTCGCTTAGTTCTGTTCATGAAAAAGTTAGATACAAAAGGCTTCTTCAATTACTTGTCTTTAAATTTCTTCGAAAAAGCATGGATCATTTACTTCTGTTGCATTTATGGTCATAAAAGAGTGTTGAAAATCAAAATCGTCAGCGACTTCAATGTCAACATCTTTCTTAGATAAATTACTTAAAAATCAATATCAAATCATTTCTCATAATTAATTATCTTTATATGATAAAGAAAATCATTTAGAAGTCATCTAAAATATTTATTCTTGGTTCTTAAATTAATGGATTTCTTGTAGTGAGGGAGTTTGGCAACCAAAAAGAGTAGACTCTACTATCTGCATCCTGTTACGCAACTGACACTATATTCACATTTGGTTCGCCGCAGTGTAATTTAGCATCGTGCTTTTTCCCTGTGCAGCCAACAGGGTTGATGTAGAAATATGCACCATAATGTTTGATGTGTGTTTTGAACATAAGCCGTGATTTATTTCTGTTAGAAGACTTGGCTAACTTTATATGAATAAATTGGTAATGTTTTGATTTTGTGCAAGTTCAAAACAAGTGATTAGAAAGCATGTTTCGTAAAGAACAAACAAATATATAGGTGGCTCAATACAAGCTTGGCATATGAACCCATAACAAGCCAGGGAGAGATAGTTGAACTCATAGATCATCCCACTACATAAAAAGGTCAAAAACCTTGGTGTATAGCATTGATATTTGAAAAAATCCAATTCGTATTTTTATCCGTGTTGAGGTAATGTTTGACATTCATGCCTGATTCTGTGAGAGGTGCGAAATTGAATTGAGCACGTGTCTCAGTGTTTGGTGGGTAAAATTTGGGTCAGACTGTCATTGTTAAATGTAATAACATACATTGTCTGTGAGAGGGGCGAAATTGAATCGAGTCTTTTGAAACGTGCTGTCTTGTTCGTTGACGAACTTGCATGACACTATGACAGGGAACATGTCGATATCTCTCCTTTGATCAACTTGGTACTTACAGATCAACTGCCCAATTTTGAGGAGATTTGGTGCTTCACGTTTTGTGTAAAAATTGCTATTAGTGTTTATGAACTATTTAATCTCTGGTTTCTTGTTTTGTTTTGTTTTGATTTTTAGGAGAGGGTTGATTGCCCTCCCCCCCCAAAAAAACTAGTTTTGGTTTTATCTCTTATCTTGTTTATTTCCTCTGCTTGGCTTCGGATCTTGAAAGTGTTTTGCTTCATGGATTTTTCTTCTCCAAATTCTGTATGCTGTCATTTTATCTTTGAGTGAAGACAATTAGAGATCTACTGTCTGGAGAATCTGGAACTAGTGTAATGCTAGACTTATGGGGGAGACTTCTCTAATTGTTTGTTTAGGTTTGAATAACATAAACTCAATTTTTGGAGATTGGGTCTTGTTGTTGGATCCTTTCAAGTGCCAACAAAACACTGGTACACAATGTGATTGCAATAACAGTCCTTGCTCCGCTCAATTGTTAACAAATTCAATCCTCCGCACTTACCATAGTCCTTTTCACAATGTACTTCCTCTTGCTGTTATTCTATAAAGTAGAAGCAAACAATAAAAGGCAACCTCAGTTTTTGCAATTCGGTTTAATGGATTGGATTTTTTGTGTAAAATTCGTGTCTCATTTACAAGAAACTTGATCGGGAAGACCTTGAAAGGCATGGGTATATCAAGATTGGATGTCCTAAATGATTTGAATATTCATTTTACCTTCAATGCATATTTGTGCATTACATTTCCCACAATATGGTTTCTGTAATTGATGTACCCATAAAGCAAACAGTGTTTTTCCTATCCCTGTGTTTTTTTTTTTTTTTGGGGGAGGGGGGTTGGAGGATTTGAGTGGGATGGGCGACGGAGGGAGATTATATTGTTAAGAATTTTTGGAGTTCCTTTATTGGTGTTTGTTTTGGTTTCACATTCTTAAGAATCTTAAAGTTGTATTGAATGTGGTTTGTTTTTTTTGTATTGGGTCATCGACAGGTGTTTTTGTTTTAGTTTTGTACAAACCATTCTCTTGCATCCTTTCCATCTAATTTTTCGTGTAATCACATGCTGACAATCCTCTTCTATATCCTCTCTGCAGTTCTTTGGACCCTCAGTTGCAAGATGAGCTCAAGCAATATCTATTCGCCAGGGGAATTGGGGAAAGCTTCAGCAACTTCCTCCTCCTCCACCTACACAAGAAAGAGCAAGATCAGTATGTAAACTGGTTGCATAAAGTGGAGGCGATGGTGGCACAAAAATGAGTGATGTCGACAATTGCGGGGGACAGGTTTAGTTTACACATGCTTTCTTTTTCTTGTCCGATTTTTTTTCATTGTTATTGGCTGCATGATTTTGACAAAGCATGAGGCTATATGACATTTTCACTGACTACTTCTTTATCCTCGATCCTTTTATATCGTATCAGCACAACATCATTTTGAGCTCCGTTTATTGACCACTAAATTCAATTGCACGGACTCTTTCATGTTATGATTCTGCATAATCAAAGAAAAAGTTTCCAGAAAGACTACAGGAGTGGGAGGTTTCCGATTACTGATTTTTGGTTGGTCATAGATTACATAGTTAAAAATAGGCTGGTAAGAGCATTCCAAGAGATGCTGAGTAAAATAGCTAAAATTTAGCTAATCAAAGCCAAAAATTATGCTCCAACAGATTATGTTAACATACTGTAAAATAGATTTTTTCTACAGTGATACTCTAAATATAGAGTATCATTATAGCAACTTGTAAAGATAATTTATATTATTTTCTCTCGCTTCCTCTCTTTTCTTCCATTCTCTCTCTTTCTCACTTTCACTATTCTCAAAAAAAATAATACAAAAGGAATGAGAAATAATATTTAAAAAGAGTAGTTAAAAATATAAAAAATTTATTGGAGTGTGTATTGAAAAAGTGAGTAGTTAAAATAGATATATGAACGAGGAGAGTGCTGACACATAGTCATTGAAGTCATGCGTGCTGCTGCGACCTTGAATCATATTTTAAGTAGAGGATATAGAAGTGATAAGAGAAACTAAAACCATACAGTAAGTAGAAGATATCGACAATTTTTCCTCCTTAAAAGTTGCTTATAAAAACAGTTTGTTAAATGATACATATACTTTTATAACTAAAAAAGCATAAATGTGCTCCCTACGTGATTGCTCCTACAACAAGGGTATTTTAGACTATTCAACGGGATAGCAAACCCTGGGCTGCTAAATAACCTGTAGACTAGAGGTGTTCAAATTTTGAATTAGCCGCAATTTTTTACCTAACCCTATTTTATTGAATGATTAGTCGCAAAAATCGGGTAGAAATACGGAAGAGTTTTTGGTCTTCTTATTAAATCGGGTAGAAATGTAAAATACCCATCAATTTTTGCATTTTTACTTTACCCTACCCGTATTAATGTGTGTGTGTGTGTGTGTGTGTATATATATATATATATAAACTAAAAAAAACCCTAATTACTAACTAACATTATCGTCTACTGACTAAGTGAGCGCCTCACTTCACTCATCTGCTCTTGCCTCTATCGACTTTCATCGCTCAAGTCTCTGCCTCCATAGTTCAGGCTTTCATCGTTTAGTCTCAACCTCCTAAAGTACTCTCTCTCTCTCTCTCTTTGTTTGGGCGCAATCTTGTGGCCTTTATCTACCGTTCACGCCTTTTTTGTTTTTTTTTTTTAAATTTTCAAAACTTATCCAATTAACATTAAAAATCGGATAATTATTGTTGTAGTTGTTTTAGTTTTTGTGTTATTGATTTATTGTGTTGTTAAATTAATGCATGTTATTTAATTGAATTATTAAAACTATCCAAAAATTAATAGCTATAAAAATGTTTATTCGATTTCTCATCTGATTAATTGGATAAAAAGTTATATAAGAATACTACACCTGATCGGATAGGATAAAATCAAACAAAATTCTTTTACAATGTATCATATAAGAAGACGAAAAATTATATATTTTAGCTGGACGATAGGGTGAAGACCCCTACAGCAGACGGCAGAGAGTCAACAGAGAGAGGTGATTAAATTGAGATGTCTAGTTTGTTGAGCTGTTACATTGGCATGTCCCATCCTCGGCTGTTGGAGGGGATAATGATCTTCATTAGAGCGATAATTGCGGTACGAGGGGATAATGATCTTCATTAGAGCGATAATTGCTGTACGAAAGTTATAAGTTTTGGGGTAAAATTAGTCATTTTAAAAGTGAAGTTATTATTGTTTGGAGTAATTTTATAAGTAATTATTAAATGTTATGATTGATCATGAATGACCCCTAATTAGTTGTAATTTTATTTTTAAAATGTGTAATTTAACTTCAAAAAATAATAATTTTATCTTTCTATCACTTTTTGAATTCTAAGATCTACCTCAAAACTGTGTAATTTGACCAAAAAATTTATAAATTTTGATACGGTATTGTTACCTTGGTCTTTCTCTCGTTGAAGGGTTGGATTTATTGAACACGGATCATCCCAACTTCTTCATTTGTCACTTTAGTTCAATAAAAAACGACAATTTGACTTTGACTTGATTAACAGAGATGTTCACGTGATCACACTTAAAGGATCACTTTAGTTTCTTAAATTTATAATTTGTTTCATTTTGGTCCTTCAATTATATAACTTGTGTCATTTTAGTCCCTAACATTTTCAAAGAATGAGCATCAAGTGTTATCATGTGAGATGCATGTGACGATCTCTGTTAGTAAATTTCAATTGTTGTTTTCGATTGGACCAAAGTGACCAAAAATAATAAGTTGAGAGACCAAATTGATACAATTAAAATATTAATGATCAAACTGACAAAAAATACAAAATTTAGGGATTAAAAGTGCTATTTTTTTTTTATTTGCATTATGTAAATGTTTTTCTATAAGATTTTGATGGTGACTATGAATTTCGACAATGACAATTGAAGTTCAATATCAACCACACTCCTATGCTTCCGCTCATCTCAGAGCAGAGTGAGGAATTTTTGCACAATGAGGGTATGTATTTTATAGCTCATTACTAAATTAAAACATAATGTTAAAATTATTTAATTTATTACAAACATATTGATTTTTGACAATGAAAAATCAATTAATCGAAACAATCTATTCCAATATGAAAATTATAAAGTCAAATTTCAAGTATAAAAGTTCAATTAAAAAGAACAAATTTAATTATAACAATCTGGAAAAAAAAATTTGGTCCTTTGCAAAGCTCGCAAACTTGAATTTCAAGAAGTCAACCAAAATTAATTTTAGGGCTTGTCCATTTCTAACTAATTTTAGAATTGAATTATAGAATTGAGAGAGTGAGTGTGTGTGCTGGTTGTAGGTATAGCACTTACAAGAAAGAACCAAAAGTCAATGAAGTAGTTAACCAAACACAAATAAATAGTTTATCAATCCTTTCTAAAAATTAAGTTTTAAAATTTAAAGCCTCGATTCCAAATTTCAAATTCCAATTCATATTTTTAAATACAAAATATAAGCGGAGAGATGAGAGAGAGAGAGAGAGAGATAACACTAATCGAGAGAGCAAAGTTGAGAAGAACAACCAATAAAGTGAGTTGGTGAGTTATTGCAGATAAAAAAAGAGACAAGAGAAAGTCGTGTGATGGAAATTTAAATCTATTTTTTTTCCTCCAAAAAACTCAATTATGTTCTAAAATATAAAAAATAGTACTATGAGATATAAAAAGTTGTCCTTATTTGTTGATATAACGACGTTACAGTTATTATTGTGAAATAGCATTATTCTAAATATACCTTGAGAGTGCAATGTTGATCATCTCCGACGTCTCTAGATCAAAGCCTAAAAGATGGTGAAAGCTTGCTTAAGGATAGATTCTCAAAAATCTAAAGAAAATGACACAACACTCGGCTATCCCAAAAAAGAGCAGGGTGTAGATTGTTGGCCAAATTTAGAGAATAAACTAATTCAACTTAAGGACTTCTAGCATGTGTGTCATATATATGATTAAAAAGGTATATGAGTTTAGTTTCCAACCAAAAAAATGGTACGTAATTTCAACCTTCCAACACAAAGTTATGGTCCAATTAGTAAAGAGTATTCTACTTGACTGATGATTCTGCTATGACTGTCCAATTAGAGTTTGGGTGCTCTCCAATTGAATTTTGGTGTCCTTTGTCGCCACTTTATTTATGTTTTCATAGTTTTTTACTACTCAGTATCTCTTTGGTGAATTCTTTAGAGTGGTGAGCTTTCCTTTATCCCTGAGTGTGTGCTTGTGAGACCTTGTACTTCTCTACATTTTTGGTGTCATCGATCTAATCTCATACCCTTTCATCATAAATACACTAATACTCTCAATGATATCCCAAAACTTATGCTTTATAAATGGAAACTTTCTTTTTGTCGCCAATCATATCTCGTAACCTTCTTTAATATTGGGAAACCCATTTTCTTAAAGATTCAAGCCTACCATCCCTTACTAGCCCCCAACCTCGATCATCGTGACTGAATAGTGTAAATTTTTGGAACCTTAGAAGGAACCGAACAACTCCACTACGAGTCTACGAATGATTGGAAACCTACAAATCCCTCAAGGTAAAAAATGCATCAAAGTACTTTGTGATATGTAACGCCTCAATTTCCCAAACCCGTTACTTGATTAAATCAATTGATCGTTAATAAACCACAAATAAATCTCCGAGTATAGGGCTAGAACTCTAATTGTCTCAATAAATTTATAAATCACAATTTTGATCTCTAAATACAAATAAAATAATCTCTTCAATATAAAAACGATTTTGTTCAAATTATACATCATCCCAATAAACCCACAAAATTAAAAATTATATCAAAATTCGTCTGTCATCGATTCTTCAAATATCAACTCTGGTCCTTCTCTCCAAGATAATCCTGAAAAATATTAAAAGAGAAAAGGTATACAATATAATAGGAAACAATATACTCAACGAGAAAAAAATATGAATGATAAAATACCAAAAAAATCAATTGATAGACATTCATAGATAAAAGAATCAAGAATCAAATTCGATAAGTCACATAGCTCAATATTTATCAAACCTAGCCTCATACTCGAGTCCTCTTGGTGACATGACAAGTGACACATGGGCATTTAAAATTTATACTCATATCGAACCATTACACCCCTCAGGGCTGTAATCACAATCGCACTTCGTAGAATCATAATCACATTTCACTAATTATGCCCTTAAGTACACTTCGTACATGTATCAATCAATTCCAAAGTATTTAGCCCAACGTACATGTATAGGTCAACCGATAACATTGACAGAATTTTCATATAAATCAGAATAATCAATTGCAATACAAAATTTTAGATAATGAAAGGACATTTTTTGCAAAGAGATTTAAAATACATGAGCATATTATATACTACCTCGTACCTCAAATCCATCAATAACTTCAATAGATGCGAAATTCGAAATACCCTGAATCAAATAGTCAAATTTAATAACAATCTAAAATAAAATCACTGCTCAATTTTTGACCCCAAAATATCATAAATTTCTCTCTCTTTTCGTCTCTCTCTCTCTCTCTCGTGCTTGTTGCTTGGCATGACTTGGCTATTTATAGCCAAAATTTGCTTGGCCTCCAAGCATCATATGGACACGTGTCCATGTTACTTACCTTTCTTTCTTTCTTTCATTTTTTTTGGAATTTGAGCACATGGTAATTCACTCATACTCATATATTTGGACACCTATATACATGTATGTGTATATAAATATATTACACCTTTACTATATCATTGAAATAACACATCATTTTTAACTCAAAATATGACATATATTATAGTTATTCAATCCGTTTTCACATAAAGAATTTTTATTTGAAGTTTATTTATTTATTTGAAATTTCTAAAAATCACCTTTAATTATATAGAATCATAAATGATGATCTAATTAAATGATTAATTTATATACAGGTCGTCACATGATATACGATCGAATTTAACACACATTCATCACACTCACCCATACAAGATATAACAAAAATACTTTTACATAAAATTCATGTATACCATAATTCATACTTCCCCGCTTCTCAAAATTACAGGTATTAATCAAGACGATCTACTCAGGGTCTGCTCAAATAGATTTCGGCTCAAGCGTGATTTATGTTCTAAACGAACTGAGTTTGAACAATTTTTTTGGCTCGTTAAAGGTTTAATTCAAGCTCACAAAATTCGACTTATTTATATGTTAAATAATCGAGTTACTCGGACTCGACTCGAGTTCTAAACAAGCCGAGGTTGAATAATTTTTTAGACTCGTTTAAAAAAAAAACTCAAGCTCACAAAAATTTGGCTAGATTAACACGCCTACTCAAAATTGAAGAATACTTCGAGTAAAACATGCAAGAAATCGTAAAAACATATTCAAGTTAACCATATTCAAGATCTAGAATTTTTCATAAAGAACATATTATTTTGAATGTAAAACATATATTTATTCAATCAAAGATACATATGATTGAATAAAAATCAAAACTGTTATTTATCTACTATATGATTATGAATTGGAATCAAAAGATACATATGCATAATCTTAATCCCTGATGAAAAGATTTAGGAAAGAAACTCTACCTTAATAATGGAATAGTCGATCCTAACGTGTTTGGGTGTGATTACGATGAATTAATCTTTCAAGATTTAAGCCTGTGTTTCCTATTTTTCTTCTCTCCAAACTCTCATCGACTTCTTAAAGTTGAAAAATAGTTAAAGAAACCATAAAACACATCCCTAGGGAATTTACAAGGTCAAAATTAGAGAAAACACTCAAAATTGATCAGGGTTATCCTCAGAGGCGCATTCGGATGATAATATTGTGTTCAGACAATCACTGTCTAAAACTTCATAGGTGCGTTCATAGGTGCATCCGGATGCACTTACTCCATCCAGACGCTGGCGGCTTTCTACCCAAGATTTATGGCTCGATTTTGATATAGTTATTGGTCAATTCACAAAATTTTCATGAAATACATTTTTATGGATCTTGAAGTCTACTTTTCAATGTCATGAGAATCAGGTTAATCGAATATCTTTTTTTTTTTTTGGGAGGGGGGACTTGGACCCCTAACCTCAAGAAAGCAAAGTTTTCACAAGATAAGGAGTACCCACAAAATAAAGGGTAATATGAAATTATAATTTTTTATTTGGATAAAATCATATTTTTTTAACGGTTATATTAACATATATCAACGAAAATGAGTTATGTGTTACACGTACACAAACGCCATAAGATGTAGGAGTAATATTTTAAATATGAAAGGGTCCAAATGATTAAGTGACAAACATGAGGAATTTATGTATAATTTATTAGTTTAGTTTTAGGTGCACATTAATACAAATTTTTATTTTTGAGGGTAAAAATTGAGATTTTTTATTTTTGGGGGTGTACATTGATACAAATTTTTATCTTTGAGGATATAAATTAATATTTTTAATTTTTGGGATACATATTGATACAAATTTCCATCTTTGAGGATATAAATTAAAAATTTTAATCTTTGAACTTCTAAATTAAAATTACAACTATTTTTCGGAGTGCAACTCGCGATTAAACCCAAATTAAATTCCACAAACACGGATTGAACGCGTATACTGGACTGATACTTGAGTCGTCGCTCCTCCATTGTTGTCGAACTCCACTTCCTCCCTCTGCTCCATCCTGTTCAGTGTTGTCATAGTTTAATCGCTCCTCCTCTCTCTCTCTCCCTCTCTCTCTCTCTCTATACACACGCGCCTGTGGAATTATGGATATACAGTGAGTGATCCACTGGTCCCTCAGCAATGGATAAGCTAATGGAGCCCTTCGATGTTCCGGCGAAAAACGCATCACACGAGGCGTTGGAGAGGTGGAGGTCGGCTGTCACGATCGTTTTGAACCGAAGAAGAAGGTTCCGTATGGTCGCCGATCTTGCCAAGCGCAGTGAAGCCCAAAGCAAGATTCGCAAAATCCAGGTCCGCATTCTCTCTCTCTCTCTCTCTCTCTGTTTGGTTCCCAAGAAAACCAACTCAAATTGACCAAAATAAACCATTGAATAATTTCAGTTCACCACAAATGTTTTCTCTTCTCTTCTCTTCTCTGTATATTCCTCTCACTTTCTCGCAATCCAAACTAACTCCTATCTTAAACCTCGTAATATTTCTTTTCTTTTTTTGAGTTGAAAATAAGAGTATTATCCTTAGTGAATTATACCGTCTGGGGACAATGAAGTTAGCAGTTAATCTAATTATCACCGCCCAACGGTTGAGCCGTAAAAAGCTGATCTTCCCCAAAAAGAAAATGTGGTGCATCACTTTTTGGAAACGTTTCATTTCTTAATACTGCAAACCGACAGAACCGTCAACGCTGAGAAAACGCTTCCGTTAGTATTGTTTGTCGTTAAGCTACGCGCTTCCGTTAGTAATTTTAATGCTGTTTCCGTGTTTCGTCTCTACGATTCTCTGACCATGTGAACGGTGCGCATGATAGTCAACTCTTTTTTTTTTTTGTCAACTCCAGGCCTCATGTAGTTTTAATATAGTTCGCATGGATCACTTGCATTTTTTTTTTAATTTCAACGGTCAGCTGTCCCTATATTAATTCCCACCCTCTCAAAAGATGGTTAAGGTTCTGATTGGAACTTTTCTGAAATATTCCAAGATGAAGACACAGTGTCATCGGGCGTCACTAAAAATCCTGTTAACTGAGATCACGTACCATCGGCTTACAAATCCCTCGCCCCGAGGTACTTGATACGTGTCGAGTACGTTTTACGAACCGACACGTATCCCTCGGTCTAATATGGTACCTCGGTCTGGTATGGTACCTCGGTTATCATGTACGGCTTCCCTCGGCTCGAGATGTACCTGTCCTCGGTACCGAGATGTACCCCCGTCCAAGATGCCTTTTTCTCTGCTCCAGTATAAGCTATTGATGTACAGGTCATTAGCCTAGGCTAGTCTAGGTTAGCTATCATGGTCTCGTCTTACACAATTGGTGTCAGAAGGAACAGGAAGGCAGGGTCCACAGCCAATAAGGGATGGACGCGTGGCAAATTGTGTCACATCAGAGACAGAAAGACCGCGTGCCCTTACTGACACGCGACTTGGGAAAACAAACATTTAATTACACCATTCCCTTGATGAGACCGCATTCAATGCGGTAAGGCTCGGAATTGAAAGGCAATAAATGTCTCTAAGGCTGGGCATTTATTGCATCCTCCCCGAGCGGAGATCATTAGACAGTCGGCAGCTCGATGACACAGAATTGATTGCTCGGCACCCCGAGCAGTTAAAGAAAGGAAGACATTCCTCATCAGAATCAGTGCGCACACTGCCTGTACCTAATGATCATCTACTGACAACACTGACAGCAATCATGAGCTTTTGAGGTATAAATACTCCTCATAAAAGGCAAAACGGTATGCAACAAAAAACTCTTGACTGCGAGATATATCCAGTGCTTTCTTCTTCCTCTCCCTTTCAAAAACTGACTTGATTATCGGAGGGGATAAACCGGAAAACACTCCGGCGCCCTTCTAACTTGTTCTCCTTTGTTCCAGGAACCTTTTCCCAGCCTTACTGGATCATTCCTTCAATTCATGAGGGCCTTCCGTTACCGTTCCAGGTTACCATCGGACCTCGCAGGCTGTCCCAAGCAGCGTGGTTGATCACTCAACTGACTCGCTCGAGTTCACCAAGGGAGAGATCTGTTCTCGTTTTTTATATTGTGCAAGATCCTGCACGCACAATCTGGCGCCGTCTGTGGGAAACGACTAGTTTTCTTAGTTTTTTCTCTATAAAGAACAGTGACCATGGTGAACACTCGACAAAAAGGGAAAGGTCCCCACCAAAGAAGTCTCGAACTACAAGCTCCCTGTCACCACGGAGGAAGGGATCACACTGACGGGAATAAAAATGCCTCCACTCAGTCCAGAGGGGTTACCCCTTAAACCAGTATGGGAATTAGGTCAGGAGGGTCAGCCCCCCTGGCTCGTCAGCTGGCGCAGGTGATCGAAGAAAAGTTTGGCGATAGATTACGACAGCTGGAAAAGGACAATGTAAACGTCCTAAGCCGGCTCAACGAATTCGCTGCCTCTGGCGAAGGATCGAGGGACTCATTCCTCTCTCGTGGGCTCCCCGCCCGGGAGGCAGAAACGAAGAATCTAAGGAATCATCTGAACAACAAGGTGGAGAGCTCCCGGGCTCCAAAGCGACCGAGAGCCAACGAGCACCTTCCTAACGACTATTCAAGGAAGGCAAGACTATTAGCCCTGGACGACCTCCGGCGAGGATTGTCTAGACTAAGGGAGGGGGATGAGTCCGAGGAGGATTCTTCCCTATCCGCACGGCGCCCAGGAAATGAGGGGCCAATTGATGAACTCAAGAACTTCAGAAGACATCCCGTCAGGGAGGAAATTGATCTCAGAGTCCGGCTGGAATCCAAGAGAGAGAGTAAGGCTATCCAGGATGAGGTCGAAGACGAGGTCATACAAACACCCTTCACCAGGGAGATCGGAGCCATTAGTCCAGTGGACCAGGGGCAAGGGCCCACCATGAAATTTTTAAAAAAAATTATTACCTATATATTTTTAAAATTTTTTGGTATATTTTATGATATCTACCGTATATATTTTGTGTTCAATTTATTAATTTATTGTTCTGTTAAGTAGAATGAATAAATACTTAATTAACTATGAATTTTTTGACACACTTTACATTTTACAGACACATCTAGACAAGGTTTTTGATATATCAAATTTATTTTTTTAAGTTATGAAAATTATGTTACATAATCAAAAGAATGAGTTAATTATTTGTATAGAGAAAGATATTTTATATAGTATGGATAATGAAATCATGGTACAACATTTTTAAAGTATAAAAATTCATCAAAATCAATTGTAAATTAGTATAGTTAGCCTATTTTCGTTATTTTCTTTTCTTTTTTGTATATTCTATGATTATCGATGTTGAACCATTTTGTATTTAATAAATGTTTGAGTGTCAAATAAAATATAATAAATTTAAATGTGTTATATTGCTTTATCAAGTGAAAAAAAAAATTAAGTTTATGATTAATGTGCCCACTCTGAACAAAATTTATGACTTCGCCATTGTTTAAGTGTGCTCGTTCTACTCACAAAAAGTGGGGTACCCCTTGGGTATTATCACTTGCATTTCTACTGCTTTGTATTGCTGCCTACTGTTTCATTTCATGTGATGCTATTTTTATTTTTCGTGATTTATCAATTTTTCCTTCTCACCAAATTTCATTGATTTTTTATTTACTTAACTTCGGATTTTGTAACATTTTTTGGTTTTATGTACTTAGCTTATGGGCATATGGTTGAGTGATAACGAGTGATTATATTTTACGTTAGTTATGATACATAGAGGGACTAGGGTGAACCTGTGCAAGTGGTTATAATATTTATCGTTGTTGAAATATAAGTGGTTAGTTAAAATATTTACCGTAGTTAAAAAATTAAATGTAAATAAAAAGAGCTATTGTGATTAAAATGTTATAATATAAATAATAATATAAGTTAATTAGATTTAAACAGTTTGAACTGTCACTGTACTTTTTCTAAGTGAGGAGCTTAAAAAGCTTAAGCATAATGTCTTCTTTCTTAATATAAATAAGTCTATTATATCTCTGGTAGTATTGTATCGAAATTCATCTGAATCTTAGATTTTTGTTTGGATAATTTGTAATAATTGATTTAAAAATAATAAATATAAATATAAAAATAAATAAACACATATCACAGTTTTATTGGATGAAAATAGAGAAGTTATATAATTATCAATAACCCTATGCTTGAAGACAATCTAAAATACTAAAAATCGAACAATCAATGATTGTGCAACATTTATATTTTAAATAGTCATTTTTTTTTATCTTCTTATCTTTGGTTATGCAATTTAAAGTTAAAATGAGTAGAGAGAAATAGAAAAGAGAGAGGTAGATGTAAATTAGTGAGGTTATTTGATATTGGTAAGTGTGTTGGTTGAGTTGTATGACATTGAGGTCATGTAGAAAAGATGTTTTCGAACAAAAAACAAAGTTTAGTGTGAATTTTATACCATTGGATCAAAATAGATAAAAATTGGATCAATTTTAAGCAGCGTTATACTTTTATAAGTTGAAGATTCAACTTTCTAATTATAACATTAAATAGATTGGTCCCCACATAGAGATACAATAATATTTGGATGGAGTGGATAGGCATAACGAGAATAAGCATGAGCGATATATTTTATCATTATCTTAGTTTTTTTTCTCGATAAGTAATTTTAATTTTTTTATTGTATAAACAGTATTGAATTTTATGTGTACAACAATCAAATAATAAAATATTTATATTACTATGGTCCGTACATAATAGGCTCGATATGTTTTGTGCTTTGGTTCCTTTCTATTGTTATCTTTAATTTTTATCTCCCGACAAATTATATCAGAGTTCTTCTAAATAAAGTGATTTCAACAAAAAATTTGTATACTACTTATAACATTTGTGTCCCAAACGGAATTTCTTAATTTCAAAATTGATCTTGATTGGTCCACCATCCAATGTGGAATTGATGAGTATTTCACATTGAAATGGTTCAAGTTTGAAGGATCAACCGAAAGTGATAAAATTTTGAAATTAAGAAGAGCATAATCCCTGTGTAGCCCACTAATTTGTAACCTAGTAGGCCCACACTCGATCTTTTATTTTACTTTACCAATGCAGTTGTTGCCATGTGGGCCCATGTGAAGTGGTATGTCAAGGAGTGTTAGATGCACAATTGAAAAGATGAAGCAGGGGAGTTTTCCTTGTATGGACCAGTTTCACCTCATTGATAATTCAATCTTAAGATACTAGGAAGAAGATATAGGGGATGAAAGTGAAACTCAATATCGAATGTCACCACCTTTGGGATGGAGACTTATCTACTTTGTCTTTAGTATCATATACTACGGTACTGAATAATAATTTTTTTTTGGGTGTATTCATGCCCGAAGACTATTTACAACCCACAAATTTTAATTCGATGGATTTGGAGCTATTGATAGTGAAATAATAAAATTAGAACTTTTTTTGGACAAAAAGGAGATTATAGTATTGAAATTTTTTTTTTTGATAACATAGTCTAACCTTTGTCTTTATATTCTCTCCAAATAGTTGAGATGTTTCCATCACTTTAGTAAAGTGGTGAATATGATCCAATAATTGACACCTTTGTGGTTTCTGTTTGCAAAGTTGGTGTGGTGACTGTGGATACAATAATGTTGTTTAGCAAAATAGTAGCTTCTCTTTTGAAGGTGGAATATCATTATTATTTATGGGGTGAATTCAGAGAATGTATTTGGTCTGGCATAGTGTCATGATGTGAACCGAGTGGTCAAGATTTGGTCATCTCACTTACATGTTTAATCATAAAAATGTGTGATGAGGTGATTGCATTTTGATCACTCAATTCTCATCATGACACTGAATTGTGCTAAAAATTTTAGAGAATCCAAATGCTCCCATTATGGCTTCTAGGTATCCATGTTGTGGCTTTGGTCTTGGATTAAACTCATTTGTTTACGGTCAATTCAAATGGGTCTTGTATCAAGATATTGGTATCTCCTTCATTTACAGTTTTGCACTTCAAATTTTGACAATTATTGTAAAGATAATAGATAGAGAGGATAGCACTATAGCAGTGTACTAGCCCTTAAGCTTACTGATTAATGTATGCCTGGCTTTAATTTTTATGGTAAAGGGAAGTTAGTATTTAAATCTTAAGTGATGTTGAAAATTATGTTATCTTCTCTGAAAAACAAGTTAAGTTCTACTGCTCTCCTGTTTCTACATCATGGACTGCAAATAACATGATGTCAAGTTGGCTGGCATTTTTTTTAATGTTTGACAATGGAAAAAGAGTATTCAAATCTGGGTTTTTCAGATCATCATAGATGGTGCTATGCTATGAGGATAGAGATAGGGTTATTTTTTGGTACTACAGTGAAAAATCATTTTCAACTCTTGATCTTGAAAAGTATAAAATAAACGAAACAATAAAAACAAGAAAGCTTTACATTTTTTGACATCCAAGTCTAACCCTTAGGATAGAATCCTTGGATTGTGGTGGTTAGATTTAACATAGATTTTGTAGGCCTGATTAGAAACTCTCTCTCTCTCTCTCTCTGCGCATTTGAAGTTATAATATAGTTTTTTACTGGTCTTGTTGGTTAGGATTAAAATATCCTTGATGATAGAATTTGGCTGTTGGGATGGCGCTAGACTATTAGATCTGTAATTGTCTACATGTATTGTTCAAATGGGACCCTGCCAATATGGAAAAGAATAATTTTTTGACTTGCCAATAATAGCAGCCAGCAGGCAATGAAATTTCCTTGAACCTTCCTCTGACATAGTCACAGCCCCACAATACAAAGTTCACAAAAGTAAACACAGAGAAAAATAAAGAAACAAAAAAGTGGTCACACAGGGTTATGGTCACGCTTTAATTATCTTCTGTCCTGTTCGGATATGTTGGAACCATAGGATCAGGTCCTCATTCCTCAAGTTTCCTGTTTTATCCTCATCTGTAAGTTGTCTTGCTGACCACACATCCTGTCTACTCTCATCTGTACCTTTCTGTATCTGCCACTTTCCATTCTCTTTCTTCTTAGTGTATACCTCTGTTGTTATGTATTCTATTACCTAGTGTATTTTAGGGGTAAAAAACTTAGAATTTCGATCCTTGGTCAATTTCAAATTTTGTTAATTTCGATTAAGTTTAATTATTAACCTTTAACTTACCAAGTCCCTTTGAATTTTAACAGATTTATAAAATTCCTTAATGGAACTGGATGTATTTAATGTTTAATGATTGAACTTGGTCGAAATTGACAAAATTTAGAATTGAAATGATCTGAATTCAGAAGTTATTGTCTTAAAAGAAGTCTTAACTAGTTAAAAATGTTGTATGATGATCTTGAATACTGATAGGTCTAGTAGTTATCTTACTAAGAGTGATGATACTCTGTTTTTTTTTTCAAGATAAGCGTTGTAGCCGCAAATTTGTGTTTAGTTTTGAAATTATCCCTTTGTATAGTTAAGAAAGACCATTTTTTAGATGAACCGTGATAATGTTTCAGAATGATGTGAAATAAAAAAAATGTAAATCTAAAATTCAGATAACCTGAATCCAAAATTTTATAGTAATAACAGAAGGGTTAAAGGTCACGTATAATATTTCATTATGAACTTCATTGCCATATGACATGTCAATATTATTTTTCTTGCTAATAGGGATGATAATAGATTTTCTTCTTTTTTCCCCTTCCAGTATTATAAAAGTTGTGCCTAGGCACTAGTGTGCATCAAGCACACCTAACTTGACAACCTGGTGGTTCTTCAGTCTATGCTTTTCCGTGTGCCTCAATTGGCCTCAGGCGAGGTGACTTCACCGAGGTGCAGTTGAGGGGAACGAATTTGGACTATTAGAGAAGAGAAGAAATGAAACGAAGCCAAGTTATCACATTCGTGTACCATGAGAATTGAGCAACAACCTCAATTGTAATTTTGGAAATAAACCCTTGCACAATTAAGAAAACCAATTTTTCAAATTGAACTTGACAACGATTCAGGGTGTTGTGTAGTTCAAAAACTGTTCAAGTCCTTTGGTTTCAGCTTTCAGTTTTGGGTGATACATGGTATGTTTCATACATAGACAGTAGTCCAGTAGAACTACACTATCTGAGACACATAAGGTGGAAGTCCTTGTATGTTCTTCTTGTACAAGGCCAAATTATGATTTCGGATAGCTTTTTCCTGCCGAATATGAAAGGAAAATGGAAAAAATGCTATTCATAGGCATGAGTTAAATGTATATATTGCACAACAATGGGATGAAATTGACAAATAAGCTATATAAGCTGACTTGCTCTTTAGACAAGTAATGGTCTGATATTCACACCGAGGCGCTTAATTGCTTTGATTATTTATATGTTGAGGAAACTGTTGCTCATACCTTGTTCCAGCATACATTACATTTGAGTTGTATTTGCATACACATGTTTGTGTATATTTTCCAGTTTTAAAGTCCATTTTTCCCCCACTCCGAAGTCTTTTTTTCCAGTACATCAAATTGGATTGTTCCAGTCAAATTGATTGCTTGTAATGATTTCCTTCAAGTAAAGTAACCTGAATACCCTGTTCATTATTGCCTATAGGACCTATGAGCCAATGGTCAGTGCACTTGCTTTGGGCAAGCTATCATATGGATGTACCATGCAACTAATGCTTAAGTTCAGATTCTGTTGTAATTTCTAGACATAGTTTACTGTAATGTAAAACAATCAAAGCTAAGCTTCATAAGATCTACTTGAAAACCCATCATTTTGCTAGGTTCTTGCTATTCAGATAGTACTTAAAGGATGATGCATGAAATGTTGGATCAACACCCACCGCAGCAGGGGGGTTGTTGGTCCCGCTTAATTCAGTTGATCTAATTGCTTCTTTTTTCTTTGTTTATTTAAAACTTACCAGGATGATCTACGACTTGTCTTTAATGCTTATAAGGTAGCATTCAGGTTTCTTGATGGTATGTATTATATTCCTTCTTTTAAGTTAATGGTTTGTGATCTAGCTTTTAAATCCTATATTTGTTTTCCATTTTGTGTCCTACTTTAATCTGTCTGCTTGCACAGCTGTTGGACAAAGTGAAAGCAAGCTGGCACAAGGGACTAGAGAAGCAAGCTCTGAAGATGAGCTTTTGGAAGAGGTTGGGAGAGCAGCTTTGGAAGATGTGCTCTCGGATGAAGCCAGAGAAGCTGGCTTTAACATTCACCCAGATAAACTTGCATCTATCGTCCGTAACCATGAAATCAAGTCCTTGAGATTACTCAGAGGAGTTGAAGGGCTTGCAAGCAGAGTAAAAGTCTCGTTGAATGAAGGAGTCAAAACAAGTGATGTGAGCATCAGGCAGAAGATATATGGCTTTAACAAATATACTGAGAAACCTTCTAGAAGTTTTTGGATGTTTGTGTGGGATGCTTTGCAAGATTTAACTCTTGTTATCCTCATGGTTTGTGCTGTGGTTTCAATAGGTGTGGGACTTGCCACTGAAGGATGGCCAAACGGCATGTATGATGGGTTGGGAATCGTAATTAGTATATTCTTGGTAGTCATTGTTACAGCAGTCAGTGACTACAAGCAATCCTTGCAATTTAAGGACTTGGATAAGGAGAAGAAGAAGATATTCATTCAGGTCACTAGGGATAAACATAGACAAAAGATCTCCATATACGACCTGGTCATTGGAGATGTTGTTCATTTAGCCACAGGAGACAAAGTTCCAGCTGATGGGATATTTATATCAGGATACAGCTTGTCGGTGGATGAGTCAAGTTTGTCAGGCGAGAGTGAGCCAGTAAATATAGATGAAAAAAAACCTTTTCTTCTCGCAGGAACCACAGTGCAAAATGGATCAGGTAAGATGCTGGTAACGGCTGTTGGTATGAGAACGGAATGGGGTAAGTTGATGGAGACTCTAAATGAGAGTGGAGAAGACGAAACGCCACTGCAGGTGAAGCTGAATGGTGTTGCTACAATCATTGGTAAGATTGGATTGGGTTTTGCTGTGCTGACATTTGTTGTGCTGACAGTAAGATTCTTGGTGGAGAAAGCACTTCACCATAAGTTTACAGATTGGTCTTCCAGTGATGCCCTGACACTTTTGAACTACTTTGCTACTGCAGTAACTATAATTGTTGTTGCAGTTCCAGAGGGACTACCACTGGCAGTGACACTGAGCCTCGCTTTTGCAATGAAAAAAATGATGAATGAGAAGGCACTCGTAAGGCATCTCTCTGCATGTGAGACAATGGGTTCTGCTACTTGCATTTGCACGGATAAGACAGGGACACTGACGACAAACCATATGGTTGTTGATAAGTTCTGGATATGTGGGAAGTCTAAAAGGGTAAAAGGTGGGGAGCGTGGAGATATATTGAATTCAGAAACATCGGAAAAGTTTATAAACATCCTCTTCCAAGCAATATTTCAAAATACAAGTTCTGAGGTGGTCACAGATAAAGATGGAAAGAAATCCATTTTGGGTACAGCCACGGAGTCAGCATTGCTAGAATATGGCTTGCTTCTGGGTGGTGATTTTTATGTGCATCACCAGGAGAATATGATTCTGAAGGTTGAACCTTTCTGTTCAGACAAGAAAAAGATGTCTGTTCTAGTGTCTCTTCCAGAAGGTGGGTTCCGAGCCTTTTGCAAAGGTGCATCAGAGATTATTTTAAGAATGTGTGACAAGGTCGTTGATACCAATGGGGAACCTCTACATATGTCAGAGGAACAAACAAAAAATATCAGTAATGTCATCGATGGTTTTGCCTGTGAAGCTTTGAGAACCCTTTGCTTGGCCTTTAAGGATTTTGACTACTGTCCAAATGATAATAGCATCCCTAATAGCGGCTACACATTGATAGCAGTGGTTGGAATTAAGGACCCAGTTCGTTCAGAGGTTAAGGATGCAGTTCAAACTTGTTTAGCAGCAGGAATTACTGTGCGTATGGTCACTGGTGACAATATTAACACAGCTAAAGCCATCGCTAAAGAATGTGGAATACTTACTGAAGATGGTTTGGCCATAGAAGGACCAGAATTTCGCAGCAAAACGCTTGAGGACTTGAAGGATATAATACCTAGAATTAAGGTTCACATTTAATTGCATTAAAGCAAGTAATATTTCAATAACAGGTAATGGTAGATGTACTTCTTTTATATACTGATTAGGTAGTGAATACAGGTATTAGCACGGTCTTCACCTATGGACAAGCACACCTTGGTAACCCACCTGAAGAATATGTTCAAAGAAGTTGTTGCAGTTACTGGTGATGGCACTAATGATGCTCTTGCTCTGCATGAAGCAGACATTGGACTTGCTATGGGTATAGCAGGAACAGAGGTTTGTGTATACGCACTTTGGCCAGGCAGTCTCTGAACACGTTCATTCAACGTCATTATTTTTGTTCTGATTCCTATAGTTATTGTTCTTTCTTCCACCCAACACTGATTAGAACTATCAAATTATTGGTTTTTTATTATTTTGAATTCTCACTTGAGTCGGAGTTTGTGCTACTTTCCGTACTTGGATTATTTTTCATGAGGTTTCTGATAGATTCTTATCTTGATAACCCTCATTTTTTCTCAGTCAAAAGAATTTTCTGCACCGATTCATAACTGATAGCAAGAATTGATTTGAAAGAGTGGAAAATTTTAACCTTAGTGTCCTTTCATCAATGGAGTTCCAGTGTTTGGTTCTAACTTCAGTGCAACTGAGCAGTTACACTAAGATCCCCATGATTTCCACCCACATAAAGAATATCAATTATGAGAGATTCGTATGCACAATTTACTTCAATAGGTGCAATCTTTTAAACTATTGCATCATTTCTGCAAATTCTGTTACCAATTTTTCTTTATATTTTGTCTTACTTCACAAAATATTTGCAGGTTGCAAAAGAAAGTGCTGATGTCATTATACTGGATGACAATTTTACAACCATAGTGAATGTAGCTAAATGGGGACGTACAATATATATCAACATTCAGAAGTTTGTGCAGTTCCAGTTAACTGTCAATGTTGTCGCACTAATGATCAATTTTCTTTCTGCATGCATCTCAGGTGAGTTGGTCAATATCGCTCTAATGATCAATTTTCTTTCTGCATGCATATTGGGTGAGGTGGCTTTTTCATTCATGCAATATCACCAATTATCATCATCACCATCTTCTCTGTAACTTTCAGGATCTGGACTCCTTACGGTTGTGCAGTTGCTATGGGTCAACCTGATTATGGACACACTAGGTGCATTGGCACTGGCTACGGAACCGCCAAATGAGGGACTGATGGATAGGCCTCCTGTTAGGAGAGATGTGAGTTTTATTACCAAGGCCATGTGGAGAAATATTATTGGTCATAGTGTTTATCAACTGGCTGTCCTTTTAGTTCTTAATTACAATGGGAAGCAACTTTTGAGACTTACAGGATCAGATGCTACAGCCATTCTCAAGACTTTCATATTCAACGCCTTTGTCTTTTGTCAGGTATTATTTGAGGTTTAGAATATTATTTCGATCAAGTTATGTTTGCTAGTTCACTTGGCCACTATTACATCATTTTTGGTCCAAAAGTAACTTTTGTTGCTTTTTCTGGGTTTTTAATCTCTTATTTGGGTAAATAGATGAAACTAGCAAACATCCGAAAAAAACTGATCATGAATCCACTGTCCACATCAGTTACTTTGTGAATCCTTCAGGTGCTATTAAAAATGCGCCCGGCAGGAAAAAAAAAGAGTACCCCCATAATGCTTCTAACTTTTTTTTTTTTTTTGGTGGAATGCAAGTACTCATTCATTAGACTTCTGAATTTATTGATTTTTTTTATTACAGGTGTTCAACGAAATAAACAGCCGTGAGATTGAGAAGATAAACATTCTTCGTGGTATGTTCGATAGCTGGATATTCGTAGGTGTCATGGTTTCCACAGTAATATTCCAAGTAATAATAGTCCAGTTCCTGGGAACTTTTGCTAGCACTGTACCGTTAAGCTGGGAAATGTGGTTACTCAGCATTTTGATAGGAGCAGTGAGCATGCCTGTTGCAATTGTTTTGAAGTGCATCCCAGTTGAAAGAGAGAATGCTAAGCACCATAATGGGTATGATCTACTCCCCAGTGGTCCAGAACTTGCTTGAAAAAGGGGAGAAGGCAATACAGAATAGGTATTATCAAGTTCAAAACCCTAGAAAGTTCAAAGTGATCTGTCAAATTTTGTCGATGAAGGGCAGCATAAAAGTTCTTCAAAAAATAGGAAAAATGAAATTAAGATGAAATAAATAAAGGTGGAGACAGAAGACATGTAGCTAATGCAAGATATAACCTTCTAATCTCTAACATGACCATCTAATCTCTAGAATGTAGTTAGTTGCTATTTGAATATTTAGGTATTCTTCATAGTCTCTCTCTTTTCTCACTGCTGAAACACGCCATCATGGATCTTTGTAGAAAGTATTTTTGTAGAAAATACTTTGTACAATGATCCATGATGACCTGTTTGATCTCTGAGAAAAGACATAAACTATGAAGAATGACTTGAATGTCGTGTTGGTACAAAGAAAACTCCGATCACTAGTCTTTCTGGGTTGTTTTCTCTTCCTATGTTGGAATGTCAAGTTAATGTTGTACACTGTTTCGTTGCATTTAAACGACAATATCTCAATTTCTCAACCAGTAAATTTGTTAGAACTTTTGTCTCCCCCTTTTTTTTGTTTTCCCCCTCAATTCAAGAATACTTTCCATGCTTTCTAGAATGTAATTGTCTCCTCTACGGTGAGAAACTATTGTAGTTGTCGACTGTTTTACTTTATTTTAACCGACTTCTACACCCATTTTTGTTCCTTATTTGCAATTTTATCGGTTCATAATTTGTATGTAGAGCTGGAAAATGTGATACAAGTGCAATCTTTCCTGTTTCTCTTTTTGTTTTCTAGCTTTTGTAATAGTATATTATGATACATGATGATCAGTGTATGCAGCTACTGATGGGATGCTTCGTTATACAAGAAAGATTTGTGATTGAACTACACGATATTTTCTTATCTGGTTCAGATTGGATGTATAACATATGAATTTTGTCTGTAAAAATGTTTAGATAAAATTTATTGATCGAATTTACTATCACAGTTGAATTTGCAATGGATAACAATTTGAATTGGTTTTACTGCCAATTCAATGGTAACATAGATTTTTTAAAGAAGAGTCATTGGGTGAACTGGTTGCATTTATGCCCTAAAATGTATATAAAAACAAATATAATTGATAGATAGACATTGCAAAGCTCCTCCACTTACTTCATCATAAGATGGGTTGAGCAACTTTTAGAATATAATAAAAATAAATATAGTGATAAATGATCGTCTTGCCTTATTCTCGGTTTTTTATGAAAATAACTTATTTGTTTACCATTAATCATTAGATCTGTTGTAATTAAATGAAGGGCAAATCTGACTTTGTTTTTTGAAAAATGTTTCAATTTTTAGTATGTACTTTCAAATATTAAAAATTTTAATTTGTACCCTTAATGTTATAATGCTTTGCTCAAAAAAATAAAACATACCATACTGAGTTAGAAAGATGATATCTTGAAGTGTATTCACAAGTGAAAGCATGAATGTGTAAAATCACGGTAGTTGATAAAATGTCCTTCATCTTCGATCAATCAAATTGGCAGAAAGTGGACGATAAGCATTAGATTTTTATTTGTCTAATTTTTTTCATAACGCTAAGTGAATGATATGAAAAGCTTAAGTAGAGTAACTTGTAATTCCTCTCTCGTCAATTGTCATTTTAGAGAAATTTGTGGGAAAAATTAGTGAGATGACAAACACAATTTTAGTGGTGGGACTTTCATTCGGTAATGGGGAGTCCTTTGGTCGCTTATTTACAATTTCAAAATGATATTGTTTTTCATTGGACGCCCAATAACAATTAAATTATAATCAATATGTAAAAACAAAGTTAAGAGAAACTGTAAGATTTGACAATTAATAAATGCATATGTCTTTGGAATTGGAATTAGCATAAATATATAAGTAATAAAAAAAATTATGGTGGGCCTATGCGTCCCAGTCCATTGTTACTAAAATATGTGAAATTCACGTGCTCACATGTTATCTTTTTGTTGGACGGTTACATCATATCAGTATGATAACACGGTGTAACGGTTACACTCAATGTTATTTTTTCCATCATGAGAGGTGTGTTTAAGGGAGTTTGTACACTGTAGAAGACCATACCAGATGAGTATAAAATAGAACTTTATCAAAAACCATAAAAAGAAAAAAAGCTAGTCAACTAATTCTTTGTATTGACTATTTGTCTAAACCCAATCTAATGATAAGAGCAATAGAAGAAAAACGAAAAACTATAAACTATAAACGCGTATACCTACCACCACGTGACTATTGAACTCCCGAATTTGCATATTGTCATTGTGTTTTACCCTTGTTACATATTACCTCCCCAAATTTTGAAAACTTACATATAATCCACTATAATTTTGGATCAATTCGAAACTATTACTACTTTTGTTTAAATCGATGAAAAGTTATTTCACCCTCCCCGCCCGCGACCCGGGGAAAAAAGTGTTTTAAAATCAAGTAATGACATGCTTAGTAAAACCCTATATTCAGAGGTGGCCTGTGACATTGTGGGCCTAAAGCGACAATTAAAAAAACGATTTATTCTTCTTGTTTTTTAAGATATAAAAGTACTAATTAAATTTTTTTGTTCAAATTTTGCTGTCATATTTTTTTTGCATAATATTTCTTGTGGCATATTTAATCTTAGATAAGATTTTATTAATTTTAATTTTAATTTTTTTTTTTTATGCAGAAGCAACATTTATATCTATAATATAAAACATGGTAGAATTTAATAAATCCATCTGATGGTATCAAATAGACTCATCTAACGATTACTAACATTCCTCTCAAAATTATTCATATTACATTGTACGTTCGGGTTCGAGTTATCCCTAGTTTACAGATAAGGAATAAGCGATTAAAAAAAATATTAAAAAATGGGAAGAAAGTATGGAGTAAGGACTCTTGAGTTGACCTTTACTTTTTATCGTTACTTTTTGTTATTTTTTAAAAATTTTTTGTAGTGTTTTTGGCATGTCTCTTTTGATACTTCAGTTAGTCAGTGTGTGAGAACAATAATACAAGTACTATAGTGTACGGTGATAACACTTGCGTCCCTGAAACCTAACTCTTCGGCTATTTATATCTTGAGGGAAACTGACAACTGTTTTAGAGAAGAGAAAAATCTTCCTATCATTCCACGTGTATGGTAAGTGTTTGCCTCATTGGAGGCTCTCTCCATCTTGTTGTAGGATGGCTTTGAGCGGTGCATTTACTATGCTTAGAAATAGCTTAAAGGTGACTGGCAGTATTAATGATTATCCTACTCACATTCAAACATTAAATGACGATCTATCACTCGATTGGTCCACGTGTGTGAAAGTTATAACGTCTTTCCAATATTTATTGGATCATGTGTTGGTCCCCACGTGGGTACAATAGCATAGCTGATCATTCTTTGTCACCTGAGTAGATAAACCCGAACTAATGGCCCATTTTAGTGCGAAACACCGGATACTAGTCGATGTACAGAGCCTAATCTATCAGTTGGACGAACATAGTACAACTCAGGGGGGGTCCTAAGATAGTACCCTTCTACACCAAGGTCATAATGGATGGAGAAGTTAGATTCCTCCTGGCCCCGTGCGACTTAGATTCTTGATGCACTTCAGGCACTGCCTGAACGTGTTTAGGATGGTCATGGGAGTTGTAACTCTGAACTCCCTGCTACGAATTAACTTAGGAGTGGCGGAGATCCTCTTCTACTATATGAGATGTTATTGACATCTTCCAAAAGTTATCACCTCAAAGTGCAGGACCCTTCCATGTACTTGGTGACCAACCTATTTGTCTCTAACAAGGGATATACACAGACATCATTAGACCACCGATGGGAACAGGCCTAATGCATTGCACCCAAGTGATGACTATGTGGGTTCTATTCGTATGTTACGCATCATTTCTTCTCGTAGTGTGCCTAGGAGCTAGTGTACATCAGGCACACCTAACTTGACAACCTGGTGGTTCTTCGGTCTATGTTTTTCCGTGTGCCTCAATTGGCCTCAGGCGAGGTGACTTCACCGAGGTGCAGTTGAGGGGAACGTATTTGGACTATTAAAGAAGAGAAGAAATGAAAAGAAGCCAAGTTATCATATTGGTGTACCATTAGAATTGAGCGACAACCTCAATTGTAATTTTGGAAATAAACCCTTGCACAATTAAGAAAACCAATTTTTCACATTGAATGTGACAACGATTCAGGGTGTTGTGTAGTTAAAAAAACGTTCAAGTCCTTTGGTTTCAGCTATCAGTTTTGGCTTATACATGGTATGTTTCATACATGGACAGTAGTCCAGTAGAACTACACTATCTGAGACACATAAGATGGAAATCCTTGTATTTTCTTCTTGTACAAGGCCAAATTATGATTTCGGATAGCTTTTTCCTACCGAATATGAAAGGAAAATGGAAAAAATGCTATTCAAAGGCATGAGTTAAATTTATATGTTACACAACAATGGGATGAAATTGACAAATAAGCTATATAAGCTAACTTACTCTTTAGACAAGCAACGGTCTGATATTCACACCGAGGTGCTTAATTGCTTTGAACATTTATATGTTGAGGAAACTGTTGCTCGTACCTTGTGCCAGCATACATTACATTTGAGTTGTATTTGCATACACATGTTTGTGTATATTTTCCGGTTTTAACATCCTTTTTTCCCAACTCCGAATCTTTTTTTCCAGTACATCAAATTGGATAATCCCAGTCAAATTGATTGCTTGTAATGATTTCCATCAAGTAAAGACTAACTGGGTGTAGTAGCCTGAATACCCTGTTCATTACAGCCAATAGGACCTATGAGCTAATGGTCATTGCACTTGCTTTGGGCAAGCTATCATATGGATGTACCATGCAACTAATGCTTAAGTTCAGATTCTGTTGTAATTTCTAGACATAGTTTACTGTATCATAAAACAATCAAAGCTAAGCTTCATAAGATCTACTTGAAAACCCATCATTTTGCCAGGTTCTTGCTATTCAGACAGTACTTAAAAGATGATGTATGTAATATAGGGGGGTTGTTGGTCCCGCTTAATTCAGTAGATTTAATATTGCTTCTTTTTCTTTGTTTATTTAAAACTTACCAGGATGATTTACGACTTGTCTTTAATGCTTATAAGGTTGCATTCAGGTTTCTTGATGGTATGTATTATATTCCTTCTTTAAGTTAATGGTTTGTCATCTAACTTTTAAATCCTATATTTGTTTTCCATTATGTGTTCTAATTTAATCTGTCTGCTTGCACAGCTGTTGGACAAAGTGACAGCAAGCTGGCACAAGGGACTAGAGAAGCAAGCTCTGAAGATGAGCTTTTGGAAGAGGTTGGGAGAGCAGCTTTGGAAGATGAGCTCTCGGATGAAGCCAGAGAAGCTAGCTTTAACATTCACCCAGATAAACTTGCATCTGTCGTCCGTAACCATGAAATCAAGTCCTTGAGATTACTCAGAGGAGTTGAAGGGCTTGCAAGCAGAGTAAAAGTCTCGTTGAATGAAGGAGTCAAAACAAGTGATGTGAGCATCAGGCAGAAGATATATGGCTTTAACAAATATACTGAGAAACCTTCTAGAAGTTTTTGGATGTTTGTGTGGGATGCTTTGCAAGATTTAACTCTTGTTATCCTCATGGTTTGTGCTGTGGTTTCAATAGGTGTGGGACTTGCCACTGAAGGATGGCCAAACGGCATGTATGATGGGTTGGGAATCGTAATTAGTATATTCTTGGTAGTCATTGTTACAGCAGTCAGTGACTACAAGCAATCCTTGCAATTTAAGGACTTGGATAAGGAGAAGAAGAAGATATTTATTCAGGTCACTAGGGATA